TTGTTGCCAGCGTCTGTCGGGGCATGTGTGTCTGGCATTGTTTCCTCTCTTCCCCTGGGCTCCCTTCCCTTTGTTTAGCGCTTCAGAGGGGTAGCTGAGTAGGGTTGCCAGGGGGTCCGGTTTTGAACCGGACAGTCCAGTATTTGAGCTTTCTGTTCAGGAAACAAACTGAGAAAATAGAAATGTCGGGTATTTTCTAAATCAGATGGAATGTCGATTGTGATGGAATGTCAAGTGTGTCCGGTATTTTTGTTGAAACGATCTGGCAACCTTACAGCTGAGTGAGTCTGTACCTGGAAAAACTTAATCAGCAACCAGTGAAGATGAAGAAGCGGGGGGTGCCCTCGACAGCTGATGAGCCAATCTCCATGTTTTGTTGGTCTTGCCGCTTCAGCCTATTTTTTTTTTAAGTGGATTGGCCACATCACCCTTGGCCTGCCGCTGGGTTTGCGTGTTGATGCTCCAGTGAGCTCCTATGTGAAAGCTGTACCGTTTCCTCCTGTCCCCGCCCACAAGGCCCAGTGCCAGCCCTTTGATGGCTTTCCAAAGAACTTGCCAGACGCTTACCATGGAATGAACTCCTTCATTAATTACACCCCAGCAGTGGGATACAGAAACCGGTTCTGCTGGCACCAGTGCCGCCCTGCGTCCCAGGGCGTACTCGGCGCCTTCGAGAACCATGGCAATGAGAATTTCCTCCTGTCCCCGCCCACAAGGCCCAGTGCCAGCCCTTTGATGGCTTTCCAAAGAACTTGCCAGACGCTTACCATGGAATGAACTCCTTCATTAATTACACCCCAGCAGTGGGATACAGAAACCGGTTCTGCTGGCACCAGTGCCGCCCTGCGTCCCAGGGCGTACTCGGCGCCTTCGAGAACCATGGCAATGAGAACAGGGTTGCGTGGCCTGCAGGCTGGCGGCCCCTGCTGGGCAATCCGCTGCTTCCCTATGTATAAATACAGCTTATTGAGGAATTGCAAGAGCAGCTCTGCTTTTCTGAAGCTTATCTCAGCTCGGAGACAGGAAAGCCTGGTCTCCTATGACCTTTCAGGGGACTAGCAGCCACCACTGCTGCGGCCCGTCCCCGTCTCTGCCCCCGCGGCCGCTGCTTCCTTGTTTCTGGCCACAGCCGGTGTTGTGCAAAGTCGGGGGAGGACGGGAACGAATGAGCCTTCTTCTGCAGGGCCTCCAGCATGAAGCCAGGGCAGCAGCCTCCCTAGGGGTCTGGCCTAGCCCAGGAGGTGCTTGTTTTCAGGCAGGGCTGGGATGCTCACAGCTGCGTGCAGGGGAATATTGGGCAGGAGCTCGTGTCCGTGGTTGTGACCATGACGTTGCATCCAATCTCCTGCACGTCCCCCCCTGCACCTCCCAGCCTTCTCTGCTAGCTGGGGTGGGCTGGAGGGAGGCCTAGTACATGTTGCCTAGCAACGTACAGGGAGTCCCAACCCTAGACAAAGCCCCTGCCCTGCCCCCTTAGCTGTGCCCTTCGCTGGCGCGGCCTCCATCAGTCCATGGCCCAGTGGAAGCGCAGGCTGGAGTCCTGCATCTCCTCCCTGTAGATCTTCTGGAAGAGCATGTTCTGCAGTGGGCTGAAGTGGTCCTTCCAGTCTCCCACCATCCCTGGAACAGAGGAGGCAATGCAGAGTGACACCGGGAAGGGTGCCCGAGCCAGGTGGCTCCCATAAGGCAGACTTGCCAGCCTTTCCCCGGCAGGGGCCCAGACGCCAGGGGGATGGGCGCAAGGGGCCTAGTGAGGGGGCACGCCTTCACACTGCAGGACACCTGCCTCCAGGAGTGCCCTGCTCCTCCCCCTCCCAGCCCTGAAAGCCATGGGGCTGCAGCAGGGTGCCGCTTGGCTTTCCTAGCCGTCCCGGAGGAGGAGTTACTGGGGTCCCTGCAGCCCTGCGTGGGTTACATCAGCCCCTGCCCGCTCGACTGTGGGCATAGAAGAGCAGGGCATGCCTGGCTCCTTTTGACTGAGCACGTCTACCGCAGGACATCACAGTCCCGTCTGCTGGCTTTGGCTCCCGCCCCGGGC